AAGAACTAGCCGACCTCAATCACATCGATATGAATCTAGTTGTCAGCACGATGCCCGTACTGCTTGAAGATAAAGGACTGTTGTGGTACCGCAACAACAATAAGCGTTGGAATCTCTGGTCAAGCTTCAAGGCAGACTTTTTAAAATTTTTCCGTCCACATGGATATTTTGAAAGAATGGAAGAACTTCGTACAGAGCAAGTTAAAACAAGTCGAAGTCAGGTACAGGAAGCGAACAGCAATCGCCTGATAATTGAGCATCCAGAAACGATGCCATTACTAAATACCACCAAGTGTGTAACAACTACAGAAACAGGGAAGAACGTTACTTACAGTGTGAATCTGAAGCCACATGGGCTACAAAATAAGGAAAGTTACCAGCAACAAAATAATTCTAAAGTTAAGCAAACAACAACACAAATAGATAGCATTACAACGTCAAAGACACCACTACTATCCAAGTCGAGCATGATACCAAGCATGCAAAGTCAAACTTACCCAGCGCGACACTCAGTAACACCGCTAGAAAATATACAAGAGCAAATCTCAAGTAAATACCTCGTAGTACCATTGCAACATCCCAGACCTATCGAAGAGTTACAAATTCCAACACAAGAAGTACAACATCTGCGTTGTTCGAAACTCATCAAAGAAAATTCGAAAGTACAACCACAGCAAGGATTACAAACCGTTACGCCAGTCGAAGAAAACCCTCATGTGCAAGATGCACAAACACAACAGTTTAAAGAAAAACCACTGATTACATCATTGACCGAATTAAAGGCACAAGTTGTAACACGAGAAGTACAACCACAACCCGTCGAAGAAAGTCCGCAGGTGCTAGACGCACAACCGCAACGGGATCCTCATTTCCACGAAGAACAACCGATCACACCATCGAGCGAATCACAGATAAGAGATATTCCAGTACAACAAGATCGACAGAAGATTACAGTCGTCATTACAAAAACAAGCCAGGTTCAACTGAAGCAAGCAGCACCAAGTTCTCCAGCATCACCAGGTCCTCAACGAATCTCGCTCATTCACGCCCTTCAACTAAAACAACTATCACAACAAGAGAAAGATCGTTCTATGCAGCCGGAAGAAATGTTGAATAATCCTCTAACACAAGCACGATGTCTCAGAATTCGAAATTCATCCAGCATTCAAAATCTGCCGAAACCAATTGATAATGTGGAGTTGATTCAGCAAAAAGGTTGTGTTCATTATAGCAAACGCCAAGACGAATTTTTCAAAGTATTTAAGTGTCCCAAGAAACGAAAAAGAAACTGTGCAAGCAGATAGGAATTTAGTTTTTTTCGCTTACCGAAAATAAGGAGGGAATGTAATGATCAATTTTGCAGTAAAAGCAAAATTGATCTTACAGCGCTGAGGACCTAGGATAAGTGAATAATTAAAAACACTGAATGTCAAATATTTCATAGATATTACCTCGAATCCTCACGACTGGTTCGCAAACAGGTCTTTTGGTTTGTCGGTCTCACTTTCGTTTGCAATGAATTTTAATTATAATAGAATTTTAATTATTATTTAGGAAAAAAAGAAACTAGCACTCAAACATATTTATGGAACAAATCAAAACAAAAAAACCTGCAATATGAGAAATGTCATTTTAATTTGTTTTGTTATAATTTTCGTTTGATCGCCAAAAGTTGCAGTGAGTAATAAGAGAAGCTGAGAATGCAGCGTAAACATTGCAAGGTAAGAGAATCAATAACAAAATAATGGAAAGCTTTCGTGAGTCTCGAAGTAGAAGACATTAATTAAGTGCATTGACCGTGAAACGGCGGATTAAAAAAGTATGAGTTAAGCAGTTAGAAAAAAAAGCAAATAAAAGGGGCATTCGAAGGATCTTCGGTCTTCTTGGTTGAGTTTTCGTGAACGGAACGGGCAGAATGTATGACAGAGTTTAACTTCAGTGATCCGCAAAGAAATACATAAGAAAAAAAGTAAAAAAAAATATATATGAAACTCTTATCGGAAACGGTGTGAAGTTGTTAATATATAAATTTATACTCTGGAACAGTGTTTTATACCATAACTATCAAGTATTTTAAATAAAAAAAAATTATATATTTCAATAATCTCTATCCAATGAACGTTTTTTTTTAATACCAATAAATCAAGTATCGAATGCATTGAATGTGATAAAATTCAAACTGATACCTGGAACAGCAACGGTGACGGCAACAGTAGCAGTGACGCGAGCGTTAACAACAATAAGGCATAAATTGCCAGAATAGCAATAATAACTAAATAAATTACTTAAATGAAGTGTTTAAAGAAGTTCAAATATATTACTAACTAAATTATAAATACGAAACTAAACAATAGAAAAGAGTTAACATCTAATAATTTTTATATTTCAATAATATATATCAAATGAACGTTTTTTTTAATATCAATAAATCAATTATCGAATGCATTGAATGTGATAAAATCAAACTGACACCTGGAACACCAACGGCGGCGGCAACAGTAGCAGTGGTGCAAACGTTAATAACAATAAGGCATCAATTGCCAGAATAGCAATAATAACTAAATGAATTACTTAGTGCATTAATTATCTACATACTTAGTTTTTTTTGAAGTATTATTTAATTTTCTAAGAATATCCATGATAGATAAATAAAATTATTTGAAATATGTTAAATCGTGTAATGTTTTTTTTTTATAATTATTTGTAATTTAATTTAGCCTATTAAATTTTTGGTTGTTGAGTTTTTTTTTTGTACTGAACCCTGGTATACGCTGAGTATACCCCGGCCGCGGTAGAGGCCGGAAAGGTCGTTACAATCCTTTTAAGAGCTCAGTATTTGAAGACAAATTCATCTAAGCTAGGAGTGAAGACGTATAAGCGTTAAAATTAGGTGTGCTGCGGTAATCCTAACGAACTGTTGAGAGGAGACCATTAGCGTTATACACGGTGAAGGGGATCATGAAACCCGCTATTATAAAGCGGGATGTAATGAGGGAAGCGAGCCATTTCGTCAAGATAGAGAGAAATGGATTGAGGGGGCCTGTAAAAAAGGGCTTCAAGAAGCTCAGAGCAATGGACGGGTTAATGCAGCTGATGACGCCTAACAGGACGCCTAGCAGGATGCTTAACGGCAGGGGTGGCCACTGGGTGGAAGGGGGCTTGGGACCCTAGGAGGTTACGCCCGATTTTGTGGCGTTTATTAGGTACAGGTGTGCTACAAGGATCTGGGGTTATTACCTTGTAATCGGATTCCAAAGGGATGACATCACCGAAGACACTGGGGGGTGAAGAAGAGGGGTTGGTCTTCCTTCTTTTCTCTCCTGGGACAGGGCTGGGACTGTCTAGAAGACTTTGAAGCTCGGCTTTTTTGTCGTTGAGTTGCTAAATGAACAAGCCAAGTTCGGCAATCAGACTATCTTCGAGGAAGCTGAGGAGCTTGTTGAGCTCAGTTATCTGCTCGAGGAGGAAGGCATTTTGCTTAGTAATGATGGCGAGGGTGCTGCTAAGTTCAGTGGGATCGTCAAGAGGGTCAACAGACATAGAGAAAATCAATCAAAAGTTAGATGCTACAGAGAATTTCTTATTATTTGAAGAGTAAGTAGATTCACCGCTAAAATAAAAGTTATTATATTAAAGGGGAAATAATAAAGATAAAATAAGAAATAAACAATAAGAAGGTAGATGTAGTAGAAACAAATGGAATGAATATATTTTTATTTTTTTTTTTTTTTAATATTTTCTAGTGCCTAGTTTTGACAATTTATTAATATTAAACGAATTCACAAAGATTTTATAATTAAATTTTAATTTAACAATTAAACCTTCATTGCACGTAAAACCGTTCGTCCTCACCGCACGAATAGGATAATTCAATGCAAATGCGAGATGCGATTGCTTTGTAATATTTTAGATTCTCGGTAAATCAGTATTAAAGAAGATTCTCGGAAATTTTGCGATTAGATTTTAATTTTGCAATAAAACTATACCTACACGTAGAAACGCTTGTCCTCACCGCACGGATAGAACAATTCAAAGCTAATGCGAATGCTTTAAATCGATATTAGAGAATATTCACTGAGATTTAGCAATTAGATTTGGATTTTGTAGTAAATCTTTAAATGCATGTAGAAATGCACGTCTTCACTGCAGAATAGTACAATACGGATAGTCAATTCGTTAAAATCTAACTACTTAACATATATCCGTGTTTCAAAATCTGTTTATATTTTAAGAATTGAACTTATTTGGTGAAAGATATATTTTACTTACACATTTAAACATAGAGTATTTTTACACCAATAGGTTAATTCTAATATGTAAATTGATCTATTTATTGTTTAAAATTAAAATCTTATTTTTATTTTAAAATCTCGAGAGATGAAAAATTAAATTACCGCTCAATACTGCAATAACAATTGCATTATTACTACGTCAGAGATTATGAAAAAAAAGCAAGTATAGCAGAAGCAACAAATAAATTAATCCCACTCAATTGGTACAAATTTACCGGAAATAATAATTTAGCTGGAGAAAAGAACTATTCTAATGCAAACTGCGAAAAGTAAAAATGAGAAAAGATTCATGAAAAAATATTTAATTTCGAGGAAACTGTGAGGTGTGAAACATCTCAGAAAATCTCACATTATTTTTATTTTTGTGCAGTTTAATTTAGTTTAAAAACTTATTCCCATCAAAGCAATCGGTATCTGAAAAAAATTTTCTTACTAAATAGAAGTTTTATGTTAACCAAATATAAAAGTTTTTGTTCCATATTATTATTCCAACATATTTTTTATAGCATCTAAATTGTGTTTAAATTGTGAATTTGGATCAAAATTAACGAAAATCGTTTTATGAGTTCTGAAAACCTTTTTGCATAAAACTCAGAAAGTAAAATGCTGCCTCAAACCATGGACTACAGTGCTTTTGTAAAATTCTCTTACCAATATTAAGTATCAAAACATTTATTAATATTAATTTTTTTTCTATATATATTATAGACCATCTGTACGCCGGCACCATTCTCCTCCGATGAGAAGGCTGTACTTGAGCGAGCCCGTTGTGATTATGAGTACAAAATTACCTATCAAATGGCACGTTCTGGAGTCGCCAAACGGCGTGTGCGTGTTTATGCCGATGGCATATATGATTTGTTTCACCAGGGCCACGCCAGGCAATTAATGCAGGTTCGTATGAAAATGATAATTGATTAAAATTAAAAAAAAAATAGATAATTTTATAATATTTTAATTTCTTTCAATTCTAGGCGAAAAATATATTTCCTAATGTTTATTTAATTGTTGGTGTTTGCAATGATGATTTAACACATAGAATGAAGGGTCGTACAGTAATGAATGATCACGAACGCTATGAAGGTGTGCGACATTGTCGTTATGTCGATGAGGTAATTTTGAATAATTTTGCTTAAAACTTATAATGAATAATGTTATGTGTTTTTATAGATCATAGCTGACGCTCCGTGGACATTATCTGATGAATTTATAGCTGAAAACAAAATAGATTTTGTTGCTCATGATGACATTCCATATACTGGTACTGGTACCGACGACATATACGGTCCATTAAAAGCAAAGGGCATGTTTGTTGCTACTGAACGTACTGAAGGTTAGTCTATGCTTCATCTGTAAATACTTTTTAAGTACATGAAAAATAAGTATTATAAAAAAATATAAGAACAATTATTATAATAGGTTCAGTTTTTAATTTATTATTAAATTAAATTATTTCTATTACTTCTATGTCTAAACGACATTTAAGGGTGCACACTAACATTCGGCATTTGAATAATTGTATACTATTTTGAAAAATCCAATAGTTTTAGCGACCCCCGGATATATGCTAACATATATGTGCAGCAAAATAAGTATAGAAATTTAACAGCTGTTTGCAATAGTGTACCTGGAACCCATTCTTTAGGGATGCCAAACCTTTACTTTATTTTAGCTAAGGCCAAGAAAACCACTTAAATCTGTGTTATGCAGACAGTCTTGGTTCCGTCATATGTGAAATTGATATTGTTAAGGCACAAGAAAAGCACTTAAAGTTATCTTTACCAATTATACTTTGGTACTAAAGTTAGTTTGGTACTAAAGTGTGTGCGTAGAGTGAAGAAGGTCAATTGGCAATTAATATGAAATCAATTGTTAAATGAGCAATTTAAATGGAGTGAGACATTTTCAATGTTATATTTTTTTATAATTTTTGCTTTTCACATTTCTAACTATAATTTAATTTTTACTAAAAAAATTTATATATTATTTATAGGTGTTTCCACATCGGACATTGTTGCTCGCATTGTTAAGGATTATGATTTATATGTACGTCGAAATTTAGCGCGTGGGTATTCGGCTAAAGATCTTAATGTATCATTCCTATCAGAGAAGAAATTCCGTCTACAAAATAAAATGGACGAGTTGAAAGTTCGTGGCCGTCGTGAATTAACTAAAGTTAAAGGCGACATAATGACTAAATGGGAAGAGAAATCTCGCGAATTTATTGACGCATTCCTTTTGTTATTTGGACGTGAACGTTTACATCACTTATGGAATGAATCAAAAGGTAAACTAATACAAGCACTTAGTCCTCCTGGTAGTCCGAGTGGTTCTGTGAATGGTGATGCGGATGATTTTGAGGACGAAGAAGAAGATGATGAGGAAACTGACCCAATGCAAGCTGGTGTCAGTATCCATATGGAATTATCACCAAAAGATCGTCGTACGTATAGTCGTCGTGGTGTTGATAGTCCTACAATGGGTCGATCAGCTACAGTTCCAAACAGAGCACATACGACGCTAGCATCAAGGCAGGAATACGATGAATTTGAACGTTTAAGTAACTAAACGCTGCTTATAAAAAAAAACAAAAGAAAACAACAATAACAACAACCTAATTTATTTACAAATACAGGCAGTTAATAATAGTTATAGTTGCTAAATACAATTAGTTAATATAGATTTTAATATAATAAAATTATATACCTAAATAATTCAAATAAGTTCTACAATATTCAAAAAAAAAAAAACGAAGCTTATTTTTTTTATTAAAATTATTAAGTGCTTTAGTTGTTAATGCTTTAATTTGTTATTATTTAAAATTTTATAAACATAATTTAATAACAAATTATGTAAAGAAATATATAAAGAATTTTAAGTAGCAAATTGAATACAATGTGTAATTAATAACAGAAACTACTATTCTTATTAAGCTATATATTTACATACACATGCACATACTAAGTTAAGTCCTGTTTTTATGACCTTAGCTAATAAATGTGTATTATATCTTTGAATAATGTTATTATGTATACATATTTTATATGTTATAGTTTCAATGACTGATTTGATTTCCCTATTACTATTTTATATATATTATATTTACCTATATTGTATTGAATGTATATTTTATTAATTCTCTTTATTTCAATTTGGTTTAACTATAAAATATAAGCTCAAGCAGCTCAGAAGGTTCTCAGAATAATCTTAACAACCTATTAATTGGATTTGAATATGTATGAAATAGAAAAAGTAACAATTTTTATACCAATCGAACTCATTTTTAAGGAGTAAAAGACATTATAATTGAAAATTGAAGTTATATAGGAAATTAAAAATTTATAAGTTTATGCAATGTACATGGTTTTTATGTTTAGTCCATTTCGAAAAACTGTTGCCTTTCTCAAATCTTCAAAATGAACCAAATTTTAAAAATGAATTCTTAATAAAGACTATGTTTGGAATTTAATATCAACATAAAAATAATATATTCTTTCTTTTTTAAATATTTCTTATTTATTTATTTATTTATGAGTTTTTAATATATTGTTTAAAGTTTATAGTCTTACATGAAAGAAGACTTGCTTTAATGGCAATAAAGGCAATATTTTTTGAATAATTTTTAAATAAAAGAAATAAATATAAGCTAAGTTTAAAATATTCTACAAGTCGAAAACGTAATAATTACAAGCTCGTTTGTATTTTAGAAACAATTTAAAAAGTATAAATAAACGAACTTTAAAATAATGGCTTTATTTTAGTACCAAAGCATAACAATAAAGAGCATTAATGACGTCATACCTATGCATTTAATTTATTTTTTAATATAAGACCTATTAGAATTCTCCTTTGTTACATATAATATTAATTTTGCATAATTAATTATCGCCACTAGGAATGTGTATTATGCAGACAGTCATATAACGAATGATCATATCAGTTATAAGCTCTTCGTGATCATAAGCATGAAAATAAGTTATGCAGGCAGTTAAATCACAATTGTCAATTTCATTTTCATATAACTGTTTTTATGCTTTCTTGTTGGGTTCAAATTTAAAAAATAATATTTTCAAAAATAATATGCATATATTATTTTAAAAGGAATCTTATGTACAGAGTACAGTGATCAGTTTTGTTTGTGAAATTCTTCTGGGAGTGTTGAATGGCACTTGGTTCTTGAAACCACCCATCTACAATTCACCTCTTTTCCTTTATTCCCTTCCCTTACCGTATATCATCAACCATCTGCTTCCTAACCCATGTATTCGTTCTGTAAAACCTTTTATGTTATTTCCTTTTAGGTCCCTGTGGTTTACAACAACAACAACCAGTTTTGTTTGTTGACTTGATTAGAATAGACTGAAAGTGTTTAGTAAAAGCTAACACAACTACGTCAATTATGCTGAGACTTGCATTCTTGTGATAAGTGTGGTGATGTTTGTCGTATCTAAGTTAATTGCTATATGAGGAATCATAAACGCAACATTGTTCATCAAGTAAACATGGAAGCTGTATTCAACTTGACTGTGGTGGTCATAGCTGACTAAGCAAAAGCAATAAGTTAACTTCGGTGCACTCAAATATGTGTAAACAGAAAACGTTACTTTATGTGCAGGATACATTCCTAAACTACAATTGTAACGTAGCGTTTTGTCTTTCATGTTACTTTACACAAAGTAAGACAAACCTTAGGCCGACCAATATTTATTCTACAAAATATATAGAATAAATCCGCTTAACAGGCGCAATACCGTTTTAACGAATATGAAGAGGTATGAAAGTTGATTTATGCCTCAAACATAAATTTAAAGCAATGTATATGATTACGGGATATAATTCCATAAATCTTAATAATAATTTGGTCTATTTTCTGCAAATATTTCAATATCATTATATGAATATTCAATTCATGTTATGTGGAAAAAAACAATTGTATTAAGAGCTATATGGTATTAATGAGTTAAACTCTTAAACTATGTGTCGATTATAAGGGAGTTCATGATTTGATTAATTTAGATGTAACGTTTTTAGTAATGCAAGACTTTCAATACATTATAAATAGAAGAAACCTTGTTTTAAAGAGTTTTAAAGGTGTTTGATTTAATGCAGGTTCAAAATTCTGGTTCCGAACAAAGCATAGCAATTGTATTAAGAGTTTACTACCATATCTTGACTATTTAACTGCCATTATTACTAACTGTGTAGTTTTTGCGTTCTTAACAAACTGTACTTCGTTCGCGAACAGTAAAACTTTAAACAATTCTGAGTTATATTTTCATCGACGATAGCACAGTGAGGGGTCTGGAGTCTGTTAAGATTATAGAATAGTTCTGAATTCTATAATTAAACACATATATTGATACGTTTTTCATGGGGCGCTAGTAATTTTCGTAACACCGCTGATCGTCGATGACCTTTGGGACGGGTTAAAATCCAACCTGATGAAACCGATGTGAAAATCATTATACAGATGATATAATAATTTCATCTCACTAAGACTTGGTACCGAAGTTAAATCAAAATTCAATTACTAATCTTCTCTTCGATATAAATCTACTCATTGTATACCTTATTATAACAGAAAGATGTTCAATTTCTTAAGTAGTTAAAAAGACTAGTTCAATAAGTAAATGGAAATAAGAACGATTAAGTAAAAACTTTATGAAAATTGAATTTATTATACTATAATAGTATAATAATTTTTACTTCATTTTTTTTTTGGTCCGGAGTTGGTCCGGAAAAGAAATTCTTTAAAGTAAGATTAATACTCTAATTTATGCTTTAGTCCATTAAGCTCTCTAGACCCAATACAGCTCATGACCGCAGTTCAAATTCGTCACACATAATAATCTTGTGAAATGCTGTTTTTTGTGACGCGTGGTAAATGACAGCTAAGATAATTTATAGTTATTTACATAAATGTTTTTTAACAAAACTTTATATTTAGTTTTTATTTTAAATTACTTTTTCATCACTGGTACAAATACACTAATCCTTTTACTTCGTTTCAGATAGTTCAAATGATAAACAATTTTAATAAAACACACTTTCTAATGTCTTGTCGGAATTAGCATACTCTTAATACACCTTTAGTATTAAACTAAAATATGTATAAAATGTTTATTGCAAATTAAAAAAAATAAAATATGAATCCAATAAAATCTAATAGTTCTTTATTTAGCAATCGAAAGATAGTCAAAGTTTTAAAGTTACTAAAGTTCCTATCAGTTATTTACATTCGATGTACTTGAGAACGTTAAAAGTTTTAGAGCTATTGCACTTTACAAAAATTTTTGGTTTGTCAGGTGTTGAAAGTTATTTGACAAATTTTCTACCTAAAAAATAATTTATTAAGTAACTGATAAAGTTAATATGTCATAGTTAATAATCAATTAATTTTGTTATTAATACACTTTTACCTTTAGTAAAATCCAAAAAACAGTATTTGACGCATCAGCATTCATATATTTGTTTATTTGAATGCTAGTTCAAATAAAAAAACATATTTTTTGTCTTAGAAATAGCTCAGATGTCACAAAAAAATCGAAAAACTTACTGATCTATTTATTTTATTATATTTTACTCTACTGCATATCAAATTAATAAAATTTTACTTATTTTAAAACAGTAATAAAAGTGAATCAATTCATTGAAAAGTAACTAACTTTATTTGTAGCAATTTTCATTTCAATAAAAGAACAGGAATATCCAAAGACGAAATTTTTATGTCGTACAAACTGAACCAAATTTCTTCATTTTCAGTGCCATCTCATCTCGTTTTCACAGTTTCACAAAATCGCAATCGAGAATCGCAAAGTTGGGAAAGATTTCGTAATTGCACCAGGCACGCAGAATTCGCTAAAAAATAGAAAGCAGACACTGCTTCTAAAGTTTGACAAGTACTGTAAAATTGTTACTTGTTTGAAAGTTGTTGGAATTAAAAATTCAATTACTACAGTATAATAAAAACTGTGCGAAGCAAAATTCAAATACACGAACCCAAAATAACAGTTTGAAATTATTATTCACTAATTAACTTTAAATACTATACTATTCAGTTTGAAAATTGCATTAAAATATTTAAATTTAATGAAAATATTTATATAAAATATTTTGGAAGGTGTGAATTAAAATTGCAAGTGAAATTTTAAGTATATGCTTGCAAATTCTTGAAATAAATTAACGTTCATCACAGAAAGCACAAAAACATTTAATTTTCTATATCATAAATAAAAGTTTGCATTATTATAAAAAGTATTTGTAAATAATAATATTCTATATTATATTTATAACACAAGTTTTAATATGTTGTAAGCTTTCCCTTTATCGCTAGCTGCTATCATTTTAAACATTACAAAAACACCTTTTTCTCTTTTAAGAAAAAAAAATTTTTTATTTATAGATAATTCATAGTTTTCTTCTACTGGTTAGTATTTTTAATGTGCATTTACCACAATTCAAGAAACGATTAAAAATAAATTCTTTTAAATTTCAAAAAAAAATTGTATGCTTAGCTACCCGACATTGTAATTATGTCATTTCTAATATTATGCATTAGATAACAAGCCAATTTAATAGTGTTATATTGAATATAAATAAAATGTAATAGTTATAGCACACTCCATATTAAGTGCCTTTATAATTGATGCCCGTTGAAAAGAGTGGAAGCATTTTCTTGGCTTTCTTTTTTTTATTGCCTGTAGCGCCACCATTTGTTGCAGCATTATGTTGTTTCTTTTGTGCCATAGCCTCAGCTAAAACGTCACCTAATTGTGTATTAAGACGAGATACGCCAGTTGTTCCTTCATCTACTTCTGCAGCAGGTATCGAGCTTACACCAATGTTACGGTTAACAAAATTATTAGTTTGCTTATTTGCCTTACCAACTTCTGCCACAGCTGAATATGATGTTTGATGTTTTGGAGTAGGACTGCTGGCAACAACAGTATTTGCTGTCGAATTTGTAACTGATAATTCTTCTTTAAAATCCCACTATAAAAATATTTTTAAAAACAAATTAGATTTATAACAATTATAGCCTTATTTTACTTACAGCTGGAAATTCAGCAGGAGAGCTTAAATTCAAAGTAGCTGTTCTTGCAATTAGCTTTCCCATTTGACGTTCATTTATCTCATTTATTTTCTTTTCGCGTTTTATTTCTTCACGTTCGCGACGTTCACGTTCTTTTTTACGATACAAAATATCATCTAAAAATAATGAAATAATAATTACATTACTGAAATATATACAAATATCATGTTAAATACTTTTAAACAACTTTAGTATTCCTTCACTGACTATTGGTGGGTTCAATTCGACTTCAACTACTGCAAATTGACAAGTTAGTGGTAAATGTCTTAAGCAAGTGAATTTACGACGATGTTCCTCATCCATAGAATGATGCTCTTTTTGTAAGATGCGTGCATTTATTAATTGTGGTGCTTTATCTAAAGTACCGTAACATGCTTGCAGCATTTTAACATTTATTGGATGTAAATAAATATTTTGACCATCTACAGATTGATAAAAATAATAGTACTTGGTTGTAGATGGTGAAGAGGGCATATCAGAATTGGACACTGAAGAAAGTTCTAAAGTTTCAAAATCAGTATCTTCCAAAGTTGGTAAAACCATATCATCTTTAATTTCTTCTTGTATTTCATCATCTATAAATTTTGCTTCAATTGGATTAATATTTGTTTGTAAATCTGTGTTTTCATTTAAGTTGTCAGTCAACGAAACCTTAGTTTCTTGAGTTTCATCAACAGTTGTCATGTCTGTAAATTCTGTTTCTTGCTTGGGAAGAAAGTCACCTAATTGCTCACGGCGTTCCTTGATTAGCTGCAAAGCAGTTTGCACGAAGATAAATTCTGGGCATGAAGTGTCATTATCAGCCATAATTTCTTTCTCTTCGCGTTCAATTATACTCAAAATATCGAAACGGTTTGCAATTAAAAATTTTGAAAATAATTTCTTTTCGTCAGTTTTCGAGAATTGTGGGTAACGCTCAACACTTTCAGCATTTGTCGTGTACTTTTCAATGAACATCGACCCCTTTTTACGGCGCATCAGCTGTAGTTGCACATTCTCACCAATATTTATTTGGTGTTGCTGTATAATAACAGTGCTCTTTAGGTCATCTTTATGTATGGCTTCATAGCATATTGGACATTTGCGCCAAGTTTTATCGCTAAGCGCTAAATAATGCAAAATGCATGGCCAACAATAGACATGACCACAACGTGTCAACTTTGCTCCAACTGGAGGATATAAGCATATCGGACATTGCGGTTCTTCCGTTGTTTGTATGTTGATTTGTTCTATAAGCTTCCAGTCAATCAATGTATCTGGAGAAGCATCAAATTTAGGCTTTGCACTCGATTTGATAACGAACTGAAAGCTATAAAATGAAATTTTATTAGTACATTGATAATGATTTGATTTCGTCATTTAGCTTACTTTGCCTGCAAAAATTGTTCTTTATTATATTTTTGTTTTTTATTAGCATGCGCATTTGCGTGATTATTTCCACTTAAAACACCACGACCGAAAAAATTGTTACCAGCATAGTGCTCTGATTCCCGTGGTGTATAGTGAAAGTTTAGTAAATGATTCAAACTCTGTTTCTTACTACCTGGATTGTAGACCGAATTTAAATCATAATTATTTTGACCATATTTTGATATAGCACCTGTTGCGGTGCTAATCTTAACATTATTTTCTGCTAATCCGGTGCTGGTAGCAAGAAGGTCATCGGTGGGGCATGTTGAATCGTGATTATAGTTGTTGTCATCCTCTTTTCCAAAGCCTCCACGTACCCGAGGACGTTTGTCAACATTTGGTCTTAACTTTGCTGCTGGTTGCTTTAAATTGCGTTGTTGATCGTTTCTTGGTAAATTATTTTGCTCACGGCGACGAGAATTTCTTGCGTACGCTTTTGTGACTTGGGTATCTAAACAAATACTTAATAATACAAAATAACTAATAAAATAATATATAATCACCTGAAGATTTCCGATTAGAATCAATTGGTTGACATGCCTTCGAGTTGGTATTTTGGCGTAAAAATTGTTTCTTGTTGTCCATTGTTATTTTGTTGATTAATATTTAAAAAATAAAAAAGAGGAGATAGTGAAATGCCCTCAGTAGGGCGGAAGGTACGATGAAATTTCGACGAAAATGTGTCGTGGAACTTATCTCCACATGGAGTATGTCGCACTTCTTTAATGTTATACAGATACATGTTTACTGAGCCATGATTATTCAATCAATAATTTCAAGAAATATACTTTGCAATATATTTCCAATTTAATATTTTTTGTTAAAAATTGATTTAAACGAGTGAAGTCTTTTTTTTTTTGACTAGCAACCTAGCAAAATTGCTTGCGCTTCTATTTTAGTTTTTCGCTCTTTATTTTCCTGTTAATATCTGCTTCGAGCAGTTGTTTATAAGTATTTCGAATACTTACGAATACTTCTCGCTTTAAGGAAACGCAAATCTAATTTTTCCAGGAGGAAAATAAAAAATATATTGTCCGAACACTAGCAAAAATGGCCGTCTATGAAAGATGAACACGAACCTAGTCAGTGTTGGTTAATGGTTATTGCAAAAAAAAAATGTCAAACTAAGTTGCCATATCTTAGCCACACCTGCAATTTTTTGTTTTTGTGAAAACAAAAATTTTTGTAACTTTTAATTTTTTAATAAAAATTAAAAATATTAAAAATGAATACACTGAAATTGAATAATATTTTTATTTAAACATAGAACAATGTAATTCCCATGTTATATAGACAGTCATGCTCACATCACATGTAACGTTGTTATTCTATGCAATGCAATTTAAAAAATGTAGATTGAGCGAATGAGAGAAATTTCGATTTAAATTTATTCACGCTGACGGAGTTTTCAGCCATGTTATGCAGAAAGTCATGGGCACGTCAAAATTATAATTATTGTTGGTGAGAACAAAAACAAAATGATTTGAATTTGGTCACAGCGACGAGGCTTTCTGTGACTCAGTCATAAATGTTACGTGACCATGTTGTGCAGAAAGTCATGGGCTCGTTAAAATAAAATTTGTAGTTATTTTCAATGCAGTGAAGGAAAAAAATAAAATGTCGGTTTAAATTTGTTCATGAGAGATGAGGCTATCTGTGCCTCGTCACAGAAAGATTATTGCAAAGCAGTTATGACTTATTCAATTTATGAGTAATCTATGTATAAGAGGACAGCGTTCCTGTAATCAAGATTTAAGAGTACGATTATAAGAGAGGCACTACAACGTCGTGCGGAGAGAAAAAGAGATAGCGCTATGAATTGAACACTTGCACATATATGTACATTGTGGAATAGTTGAACAGGATCCAGAAGTATGTATGTGGATAGTATGTAGATACACTTATACCCCGATTTGCATTGATGCGAATAACGTCACCCAAAAAAAAGTAACTTTGTGGAATTGCATCTGTAGGGTTTCGATTTGCGTCGTTTTTTAAAACATGCGTACTGAGGGGATTCCCATTTTATTTCTTGTATGTCACATTGTTTAAAAGAGGATTTCATGTATTAAGTTTTTAGTGTAAAGGTGTCAGTTTACATTTGTGTGTAGAAGTGAAAATGTGAAATTCTACTTTATAAAATATAAAAATGATTCAAAAGCGAAAACAAATTTGTTTGGAACAAAAGTTAGACATTTCAAACTGTTTTTAATTTGTAGTAAAACATTCTGACATTGGAAGAATTTTGAATTTAGCTTCAACTACTGTAAGAACAGTTTTTAATCGTGATGCTTACAAGATAAAGGATTATAGAAAAGCTGTCATACATTTACAGGCCAAACAATATACAAAAAACAGAAGTCAATTAATTGTAAAAATGGAATCCCTTATATCGATTTGGATAGAAAATCAGAATCAAATAAGAATGCCATTAAGCCAAACGCTAATTCAGAATAAACCACTGAATTCAATATTCAGTGACTTATATATGTGGAGAAATATGAATTGTTTTGATTTACGTCGCATTTTGACGTTCCTAATTAAAAACGCAAATCGGGGAATAAGTGTATAAATATTTGTATAAATTAATTTTTTATCTAAAACTTAACACAGCCCTCGATTTAGCAGTACTATGATATGATACCTTTTATAAAATAAGAATTCTGACATTGTAGAAAATGTTTTTATAAGAGTTCTTATGTCAATCTTTCGTGCGAAATAGATATAATACCATACATTAGTTTTTATTTATATGCTATAGAAATACATACAAAATATTATTACAATATATAAATAAAAATTTGAACTTACCAAATTTAGACCACCTAACAACACTTAAATCTTATCTTACAATAATTGGCCAAGAAATGATGATATGTAGGCTAACAGCTGATTTGTTATCAGAGTCTGTAGTGTTGTACTTTGAACAGTTTTTATTTACCAATTTGCATTTGCAATTATTTTGAAAAACGTGAGATGATTTCATAAAAATGGATTTTCGAAATGCACGAGCACGGCAACCAGAAGTAGTGCGTTCAGTACAAAAAGATTTGAGATATACAAATGAGCTGACAGAAGATTTGTCCGATTTATTACGTCTGACCGGTGCTAGAAATTGGATAAAATATAATCAACTTTGCAAACTCCTAGCCGAGATAACATATCATGGATTTGCATCTGTCAGTAATCTCCAAACACTTGGAGAAGAGTATGTTGGTATTATTAAGGTGGATTCAAAGTACAAACATATACCAACGCGATTTGTAAGTTCATTTAGTTACTTAATCTTATTAGTACACATTTGTTAAATTAAAGTCATTTTGCAGGTGCAGTTAATAGCTATAATACTGGAGTTCGGTGGTGAAACCTTATATATACATCTGCTACAAAAATTAGAGGTCTACATTGAGCAACAAGAAAATATCTTACCAGATGCGAAGAAGAAATTAATTTCCTGTATTCAACTTATGCAGCACTCGCCAAATTACATAAAGGCTTTGCACAAGTCTCTATTCTATCTACACTCCGATAAATATCAAATATCGAAACGTGCAACAGGAATAAATTATGTACTAATAAGACATTGGATACAGCCAGAATTTTCTTTGTTTGGTTATAAAATACTCGGCGTTATAACCTTTCTACAAGTGTCAATTTCTTTTCTTATTAGTGCATTTGAAATGTGGAAGGAACATAGAAGAAAACAGTATGCTACTTTGGAAAGAAAATCATCGAAAACAATTATTAAACATGAAACTGAAGTTGAATCAGTAACAAAAGCACCACAATGTGTTCTGTGCTTGGAACCACGAACGAACACTAGCTTGACGCCTTGCGGTCATTTATTTTGCTGGACGTGTATTCTAGAGTGGTTGGATGAACGTGATGAATGTCCTGTTTGTAGAGAGACTGTTAAGAAATCTAATGTTATCCAATTACAGAACTTTTTATAGTTATAAGTTATTGAGTCAATAGGTATACAGCATAAAATATTTTTTATATTCTATTTCTTGGAAATTCGGTATTATTATAATAGAAACTTTTATATTTAAAAACAAAAAAAAATATTTAAATTTTATTATTTGGGGTCATAAGAAAATAACGATGTTATTAAAATAAAACTAGTATGGCTTTATATTAGATTTTATATAAAAAAAAAATTAGTTAAGCATAAATTAGGCGAATTTAAGGATACCAATTTAGTTAGTTAGTTAATTAGTTTTTTTTTTTATTGTGGGTAAGCTGTACTTTCAAAAACTCCAACATTTACAATGCACCAAATATTTTTCTTTCATTTTCTTCAAACATAACTTTAAGGTTCAGCAATTTTGCTAAGGTCCAGGAACAGACCTGCAAATCAATTTGAATCAGATTTGTGTTAATAAAAGCACATTTGAACATAGCATTTTCTGTATAATTAAAGCTTGGACACACAGCAGGTTTAAACGTGTTTATACTCAATAATTAACTGTTTAGCATATGGTTGACTTAAGCTATAACAGAATAGTAAAGGCGCAGTAATTGACGTCATGAATGGTTCCACCGATTTCATAGTTGTGAGTGTATTGTTGTGGTTGTTGTAGCCCATGGGGGTGTAAAAAAAAGATGACATGAAGAAATCACACAACGTATAGATGAGTTAGTATGTGGATGTTTGAGTGATCAATTGTGAATTTTAGAGAATGGGGGTGGGGTCAGTGTAGACCCCGCCGTTCTTGTCAGTGCATTAGTTGTGGTTAGGTGTAAACTGGACAGAGGAAGTTGTTAATGTGCAAACGGACAAATGCCATTTAAAAGTGGGCCTAATCCACTTCTTTGTGGAAAACAAAAGGTAAATTCCTCTACTGCTGTTTATTGTGCTCATAAAGCAAGCAGATTGCTATTAATGTTTAAGATAACACTATCTGTTAGAGTTACTCCTGCGGTCGGATAAAACATTATCATTATCAATATTATCTGTTAGATCTATTACTGTGGACATATGATATTCTTATTATCGGCTCTGTTGTACACATCACAATCACAAATATGATGATTATGTGTGATTATGGATGGATTCGTTCAATCCATCAATTCGAAACTACTGAGAATAGAAGAGTCAAAAAATTTATAACAAGAGGAGACAATGAAAGACAACAAGTACTTTGAAAAATAGTATGTATTTGAATCTTTATAGCTAGGCCATCAAAAAACCTACTCTTAAATAAATAAAGGTTATAGTTTGTATAGAAATTTAAATTGTATTTATTTCTTTAATTAAGAATTTATAATTCTGTGTATAAAGACTTACATATGTTTATAAGAAATTATAGTAGATGATTATAATAATAAACTTTTTTTTTGTTTTTTTTTCTCTTAAAGATAGCACTTCTTAAAGATACGAACTAAATGTTTTCCTTCATTACATTTGAAACTTAAAAATCGCGATTAAAAAGGGTAAAGCATCATACAATGATAACATTAATCCATATTTATATAAAATATTTACATATTTTATTCATAGTTTCAAAATTTTATAGGCAAATTTTCATAAATCAAATAATCAAAACTTATAAGCGTTTTTTTTGGAATATTTTTCCAAAAACACTTAGACTGAAAGAATAGCAAACGCATATTTTTGACATGACACTTTTCCTAAAGTGACTTTGTAAAAATGCGACAGTTTGTCCTTTCAACTTCATTAGGAATAGATAACTTATAAATAACTTAAGAATAGATAAACAAGTTCAATATTTATGTCAACTCCTTTCTTTGCGACTTAATTCTATAATTTTCAACTCCCATTTGAAAGTGAATTCTTACTTAAATACTTTGTGCAGTTATATAATAATGTATGATAATTAATGCAATATGATAAGTAGTTAGTTATATATAATACATATTTAACACTACAAATGTTTTACAAAATATTTAAGTAGATTGTGCGGCCGAAAATATTTTTTCGCCGTTTGGATTCGTAAGCAGATCTCGCGATATCAGGTGTTTCAAAGACTACACGTGCATCACCAGTTGGCAAGCCATCATCATTAAATCGTCTTATAATATCATTTGGCGATAGTTCATAACCTTCGAAAAATTTTAAAATATCTTTTAAGTCTGCTTTGAATGGTACATTTTCCATAGAAACAACACAACCGGAACGATTAAATTGATCGGGTATGCCATCAATAAGTTTATTATTGTTTCCTCTGTTGTTATTTTTGTTGTTAAAATTGTCGTTACTATTGCTATTATCATTACCATCATCGTTATATTGATTTCTGTTATTACCCATATTGCCACCACGACCCATATTTCCACGGTTATTTCGCATTGAATCATTGTTATCGTTAAAACCGCTGCCATCACCCATCTGCATGTTTCTATTATTTCCGTACATACCATTATTATTATTGTTATTACTCATGTTCGACATCATATCATTATTATTTCCCATATTACTCATTCCATTATTATTACCCATATTACCCATTCCATTATTGTTACCCATATTACCCATTCCATTATTATTTCCCATATTGCCTATTGAATTATTATTATTTCCACGTCCTCTGTTAGCGAAATCTTGCATAGAATTACCACCTCGACCGGCACCGCCACCGCCACCAGGGAAATAATTCATGAATGGCTTGTTTAGGCGATCAGCTATTTCTTGGGGAGTTATTGTATAAATGCGTAGGGACCTTGAACGAAATTTCGAATTGTTAAATTGTTTTATTGATGCTTCCACATCTCGGGGATCGTGGAATTCTACAATAAATTCTCCACTTGGTAAGTTGCGTTCATTGAATAAGGGTTCTATATGTTTGAGACGGAGTTTAATAGATAGCAGCATTTGAGCAATGTCATTAATTTGTGCTTTGTAGTCACAATTTTTAATTATAATAAAAACATTTTCAACAGGATTCATTTGATTTGGGCCATTATTGAAATTTGGACCATTATTGAAATTTGGGCCATTAAAATTTGGTCCATCGTTGTTATTGAAGTTGTGAACATTCGGATTGAAATTTTGATTCTGCATCATATTGGGTGTATTTCGGTCGTTACTATCATAGTTATTTGTTGCATTATTGTTATTGCTGAAGCGACTTGGACGTTGCCGGCGTTGTCGAGTATCGTTTTTCGCATCTAATGTATTTGGTTGATTTACATTCATTTCAAAAATGCTTGGAATGTTGGGTCTTACAACATCATTATTGTTTTGATTATTATGATTATTGTCATTGAATCTGCTTTCTCTTCTCTTCTCTTTAATATTTGTACTCATTTCTACATCAGCTTCTCTGACTTCATTTTCATTTTTCATATAATCATTTTTGGTCTCACATTCATTATCCATATCTTGAAACTTTTTAGCTTCTTCTTCAGCAAGTGCTTCTTCCTCTTTTTGTAACTGTTCGTTTGCTAGACGTAACTTTTCTTTGGCCTTTTCCATATCTTCTTCACTGCCTGGACTTATTCGTACTTTTCTGTGACCAATCATATGCTGCATTTTATCTTCCAAAGCTGCTTTTGCATCTTCAGTGCGTGAGAATTTGACAAAAGCAATATATTCACGCCGATTTTCTGGACTAGACGTCAAAAATATATCAAAAATAGAATATGATGTAAACATTTTCATGATATCTTGTTCGGTAGCAAATTGGGGTATGTCTTCTACATAGAGCACATTAAATGTGTCCATTATGGTTTTATTTCTGAATGGATTAGGTTTGTTTGTTTCATGAAACTTGTTTTCATCTCGCCATACCTGATCGTTATTGCTATTACGTTCAAATCGATTTTGTCGGGGGCCTTCTTCTGCTTTATCAAATTCTTCCTCTGTTGATTTTTCAATGTTCACGGGTTTTGACTTCAACATTAAGTTATGTCGACTCATAACCTTCTGTATATGTGACACTCGACCAAACTGTATATAAGCAACGCCTGTACGGTTTCCTTGCTTATCATTTAACATTTTTATACCATTATGCGGAATGAATAATCCTGCGAAAAATTTTCTGATATCACTGTAAGAAGCGGTACTACACAAGTTGCTGATTTTAATGCAAATATTTTCTGGTTTCTTTTCATTACGTTCATTATATCGTGGAGATGCCTCTTCTATATTTACAGCTGGTTTTGTTGGTTGAATAGTTTGTATTGGATCTGCTTTTGCAAATAGACTTGGATAAATTTGGGCGTAGGGATTTGTGTTAGCAAAAGTAATCGATTCTTGTTGAAAGTTAGATGGGTTCATATTATTTTGTAATTGTGTTCCGTCTGGTTTTTTATCTAGAAAAATACCCGGAATCACTGCATTCATTTTGTTATCCAATTTTTGATTATCTGCTACTTTCATTTTCGAATCAGCACTTTCACTTGAATTCAAAGGTGAAGTAACCACTGATTGGGCTGAAAAAGATTTCATGTGATCGTTATTGCTTTGAACTGATCCTGGAAGTACTGTAAGACTATAATTGTTCGTAGTGTTAACATTGCTACTGAAGCTTTGATAAGCTGGTATAATTGGTGGATTTGACATGCTTCCAGTTGAATTTAATGGCTGTTGAGTGAATGTATTTGATTTAATGGGGTTATTGGAAATAGTATTAGGGACAATAATGTTTGGTGGCATCATAGTATATGGATTTATTGGAGTGCCACTAGTATAATTTGGATTAGCTGTTTGCAAATTTTTTGGAAAGTTATTATCAAGACCGGGAATAGTTGTATTTGGATTTTGATTTTTAATTCCAAATGGCACCGGTGAAGCAATACTCCATGGTGAAAATGTAGCAGTTTTTGAATTATTATTCTCATTATTATTATCTTTGTTACGATTACTAGTAATGCTATCTTTGCTGTTACGATTACTCCTAGTCATACTGCCATGACTTCTATCATGACTTTTTTCACGGCTTCGATCGCGACTTCTATCACGACTGCGGTCCCGACTGCGCTCAACGCTTCTGGATCGCCTGGATGAGCGTCGACTGTTCTTCCAATCGCGATCACGGTCACGCTCACGATCACGATCACGTGAACGACTTCGCTCTCTTCTGCGTTTAGAATGATCACTTCTATCTCTCGAACGAGATCTTGATCGGCGACGTTCTCTTGAATTTGAACGGCGTCGATCACTACCACTACGCACTTTATTCTCTTCAGAGCTGGTAATTTTGGATGTTTTCGTAACGATAGGCTTTTCTTCTGATATAATGCCTGCTTGCTGCTGATATGTTAGAAAAGAAGCTGGTGCACCTAATGGAGTTGCTAAAATATTTTGTAAACCGCTGGTAGTTATAATAGGTGGTTGAGGTAATGTTGGAGCTGTCACAGTTGCTGTAACTTTTGGTTTTGCATTTGAATTATTTTGAAGAGCAAGTATCGACTGCTGACGTGCTGTTTCAATCACCTTTTGCATTTCAGCACGAGATGACAATAAAAGGCGTACCTGTACTTCATTTATTTTTTCTCGATCACGCATCATAGCCTGTCGTGCGTCTTCATCAGTACTGTTAATTTTTAAAAACAAAAGAAAAAAAATTTATTTATATAACATTTCCATAAAAGGTTAAAGAAATTTTAGAAAAGTCCAATCGTCTTTTACATTCAATACAAATTTAGTCCAATACTATTTTATATTCAATAAACTGAAAAACAAGAATTGAAGTGCTCATGATCTATTCTTTCACTGTTGCTACACGTGCTTAAGATTAAAAGTATTAAATATGTAATTAGGATATCACCTTATAACCTATAATCAGAAGAATAAATACAAATGCCAGAAGTATTTCTAAATCACAGTCGTCGAGTTTAATTAACTAAGGTCGATTCACTATTCACGACTTCGTTGACCTAATCTAAATCAAATAAAAATTAAAATGAAATACATCTGTTCTAACAGGACTTGCTATTTTTATAGTACAGAACTACTAGTTCTATTGATGGTCTATTGATTGCATAAATATACGTTATAAAAATTGTATTATACATTGTATTTATTCTTTATTGCTGCTACTGCTGCATTTAAGAAGTTCTTAAGATGAATCTCAACGCATATGTTACTCCATTTATCCTGGGAATAATCAACATAAGTTTGACAATTGAAGCCATTTCAGTTTTAGAAGGAGAAAGAGTCGGCTGATTTTTTAAATAACATGATTAAATTTGACTTTTCTAAATAAAGTTGGAATAACTTCTCGAGATAACCATTTACGATTTTGAGTTTTTAGTTAAAAAATAGATCATCACGAAAATTTACTCATCTGCCATCACAATGCGGTAAAAATAAGTACTTTATTAAGAATTATTTAATATATTACGGTCATACGCCTAAAACTGATCTTATTTCTCTTATATGGAATATAACTAAGTTCTACAAACTAAAAAAATGTTCTTTCTTCAGATTATTCTCTTGCCAAAGAAAGTTATTTATTTCTCTATGAATAGCTTTTTACACCTTAATTAAACGAATTGAGATCCGAAATCTATTATAGTGGTCAATTATTCGATTTGGTTTCCATTTCATAGATTTCCATATTTCATTTTAAAGCAGTTTATTAAGATATAGTATTAAGATATAGTATCAGGGCGCTTTTCTGGATTTACTATTATTATTTCTTGAAAAACTTCAAAAAAATTAAACATGAAAATCTTTTACTCATCAAACGTAAAATGAAGACTTAAAGTTATATGTGAGTACCAACAAGGTACCATTAAACATATACACTATATATGCAACATGTACGAAGTTATATATTTAATAACCCTCATTTAAAAGTACAATTTCAGAACATTTGTTAAAAACAACTGTCACCCAAGGTATTAGATATTCAGTTTAAGGTTTGCCTCTTTATAATATATGTCATCCAAACAACTGCTGAACATTTTTAGATTATAAAAAGTTACTTTAAGATATGGTGATTCTGTAATACCTACATTTCTCAGTTCTCATTCTGCAATGATGATACATCTGAGGTAGGAAAAATTTACCAGTTGCACTCTAGAAACCATTGCACCTACAAAAAATCACTACATTGTGTGGCATTTGGTATGGAGGTGTGATAGGTCCGTAATTTTTTAAAATGCCGAAAGTGATGACACAAAGTGTCAGTTCTGATTGCTATAGCCACATGATTATGGAAGATATTTAGTTTCAGTAGGATGTTGACACAAGTCCACATTTAATTTATGTTTTGGCCATATTTTTTGAATTGGCCAAGCGATTTGTCACCAATTTCCATGGAAAATGTCCATTCTCAACCGTTCGATATTTTGAGGAACAAAAAAAAAAACATTCTTGAAGTTATGACCGTTCTGTTGTTAGTTATATGGCGGCAAGTCATTGTACAATTACTCATTCAGTACTAAAAAAGTATCCCTATAATACAAATAGGATGAACTTTAATACTATCTGGAGAACTTTACAATTACAGTTGTTGCGTTATAAAAGTTTTTTTATTTATTAGCACCTTTTTAACATAGTAAATAGATTACACCCATATGTAGAACTTATTTTTAAACTCTATAGAAAACTATACTATATAAACATTCTGTGCATTTTTAATACAAGCGCCGTCTATCATAAAATGGACCTCTAAGTTTTAAAAATGCACGAAAGAATTTTACATACTGTATACAATCTTATTAAATCTTATCGTATTATCAATCTTGTAGTATTTGGTCAAATCAAAATTGATTTAAATGAAACTTGGTACTTCTATGAAGGTCATGACTTATATTATGAGCTTAACAAAAATAAAAAACAGCCTATTGTCATTGATAATGGCTTTATTGTTTTTCACTTTTGTCACATTTTTCTATTTCAATGGTGATATATGGTTTTTGAACTTATCAATAGGCCAAATAAAAACAATATTCAAGTTATTTCTCTTCGATATACAGGAACAAAAAAATTCATTGGATGTCAATTGATTGCTGTAAATCGGATGACACATACATTTAGTGTAAATTTTTAGTACTCAAAAAGTGATGTTTACATTTTTCTTCTGGCAAGTAAATGCTAGTACTTCATTGAGAATTGATCGTTTTGTATGGCTCTAAAAGCTTCGTAAAAGCATTGGAGACTATTTGTTTCGAAATGTTTCATATGCGTATATAACACCTATAAAATCTGTTATTGTCTAGTTTTAAGCTTATACGTATAGTCTTTTGTTTTGTCATCTGCCAATATCTTATGCTTGTGTTTTGAAACTCCATTATTGTATTTCTTGTACATTCCTTTGCAATAAATGACAAGATCACGATTTTAATGTTGCTTTGCGAATTATAGGAGGTCTCTCTTTTAAGTCTTACGCTTAACAATGAAAAGATAGTGGGTAATCAGTTAAAATGGTTTTATTGTTTTTTGAAGTATTGTCTATGATGAAGAATACACTTTTGCATTCAAATAAACCAATTTTCGAAACAGTTTTGCTATTCTTAAGTTGGTATCTTCAAAATCAGGGTTTAGAAAGTGTCATCGGGCAGTTCGGGCGTAAAAATACACTTAGTACGCATTTTTTTTCCTAATAAAAGAAATTGAAAAGAAATCATTGGCTGATAAGTCGGGACTGTAAAGCGGATGTCCCATTAATTTGACGTTTGGAGTACTCAAAAACTCCTTTGTTTGAGCTGATGATGGTGGAGAATGAATTTCCTTTGATGTTTAATTTCTTCGCTACTCCGAAGACTTCCAGCAAACAAATGCCAAACTCAGCATTGACTGTGCTATGTTGTTCAAGTGGTACAATTGTGACAAAACCGGTTTTTCTGAACAAACAAGCGACTACTCGATTCGTTCGCTTTCTCGAGTTCGGCTCACTTTAGAAAACCCAAACATCGATTGTTGCATTATCTGGAATCCAACGGGAACAAGTATTTGTGACAGCTAAATGTATATGTAAAATTGAATATTTGCTAGTCACACTAATCCCCAAGGAAGCCTCCATATCACGGTGTGTAAGATGCCGATCCATCTTAATCATTTCTCACACTGCATCGATGTTTCCTTGTATATCAGCCGTTGTGCACATTCATTTGTCGTGGAAAAAACGAAAAACACGCTCGAACTCATTGAATCAGCGTTTTACAGTCGCTGGCTGTGGTGTTCTATCACCAAATGTTGAACTAAATTGATCGATGCATACTTTTCTAGTTAATCCGCATTAAAGATCGTAAAAAATCAATGCACGAAAATGTATTTTTATTTAATTCCATTTCTTTGCAGTGACACAGTTTGGAATCGATGTAAACAACATAATAAATGGGCGTAAACTAAACTTTGTATTGATATTTATGCCTACGTATGGGATCAGACAAATATAAATCTTATACCCCAACAAATGATTATGCAGTATGTTATGTGTTCTGCTAGAACCAATATTAGTTCTAATATAGAATTAATTATATTGCATTATCAGTTTTTGTATAACATCAATTTTTACTGGCACAAAAACACATTTTTGACTTCTCCATTAAACAAACGATGTCCATGATCAAAGCCGGTAAAACAGTGTTTTTTTTTCATCAATGTTTATAAAGAAGAAAAATTTATCGTAAAAATGGAAAAAAGTTTATCGATGCACCCTTATGTAAATATATATAGACCACTGTGAGAAACATAACTACCATCAGAGCATGAGAATTTCATATTTTTTTTGGATGACTTTCTAATATCCAACTTTTTAGTATATTGGAAATAAAGTAATTTGCAAAAAGATTAATAAATGTTATATACTATCGAATCTTACTCTTTTGTAGGATCTTAGCCAGCTTTAAGACCTCTACCATTCAAAGAGTATTTTAGACTTTACTAAAGGTTTGATATAGTTTTTAAATCATTGAGCTTTATACAGTAGAACAATGGGCTAATATGCCTTACTGAATCCGTAGGAATGTCGGTATTATCTAACCTAATTTATGAATTGTCGTAAATAAATATAAAATCATATTGGATTATATTAATTAAATTGATATTTGTTTGATCTTAACTTTTTACTGTGGGCAGGAAGATGAATGTAACCTTAATAAATATAGACATTAGTTTTATTTCAATTAAATCCAAATTCATACTTATATATTATTTACATTGAGATCCGGTTTCTATTCAGTCCTTCATATACATTCTGACCCATATTCACAATAAAGGTGTGCCAATTTTCTTAAATATGTTTTGTGCCAAATTTTAAGAACATGGATTTCTCGTCCATTTTTAACTACTATTAGTTTTATTGATATACCAAGAACATGTTATGTGTTTAATCAAAAATAAAAGAGCTATTGAACTAAATTTTTTGAATCACATCTATGTATGATTAGTTTAGAAATAGAGATAAATATGCTGCAGAAAAATTTTGTCGCTACGAAAGACTGAGGGATAAAGAGTAAAAGAGAGTTAGAGACAGGTGAAACTAAGTGATGTTACCAATTTTTTTTATATTTTGTTAACTGTGGTTAAAGCTACCAATTGGATAATAATTGTAGTCACGTTGTGGTTCAAATTAGTTGACTT